TATGATAATAAGTCCATTAAGTTTTTAACGAAATAGATGGAGAATCAATATCAAGAGCTACTAATGAAAATCTGATAGAGTTCATAATCTTTTATCTTCATCATAATAATTTTTTTTGGTGGCATCTTTTTAATTGTTCAATGTTTAACTTACAATATGAAAGTTGTAAATTAACGCCACATAGTCTATAGAAAAATGAATTTTTTTTGACAAAAGTATATAAAGTTAATTTATTTGAAAACTGCAATAAATAGCTATAGGGAATACTAATACAGATCGATAGTGAGAAACGTAGTCTTCTAAAATAATTAACCACATACAGGGTGTCCCATTTGAAGAAAAGGAATTGGGCGAAAATTTAGAATGCCGGTTTTATGCCAATTTTGACAGAACTCTATATAATAAAAAAGGCAACTTTATACTGTAAACGATAAAGCCTAAGGAATTTATTTTTATATACAAATTACATTAGAGGATATTATAGACACTTTATATACAGGGTAGAAAAGTGTAATTTTCATATAAAAACCATTATAACTCAAAAACGTAGTGGGTCCTATTAAACAAAACAAAGTTATCAGAAACTTCTGGTATAACCTGAAGTAGAAATAGATAAAAATATTTTCATTAAACAGTTCACTCTTCAAAACTCCTTCAATCCAATTTTAAAGATTTAGTTTCCTTTAGTTGTATTTCTAATTGGCAGTTTATCTGTCACACCCTGTATTTTAGTATTGGCCAAACAATATAAATAAATTATACCAACGAAACGAAACGACCAATTTCGCTCTTTTTGTTGTGTGCAACGCACAATACACGCAAAACAACAAATCTATTTTTTGCTCAATTTACGTTACTCAGCCACAACTAAGATACCTTTTTCTTTCACGCAAATATATGACACAGAATACACAAAAAAGTCAGAATTTGATATTCCAAGGGTAAAAACACCACCCTCAAAATTTGTTGCAGCCACTATCTACTGTTCGCCCATAAGATCTAGGTCAAGCATGTCAATTTTGAAATGACATAACGAAAAACAAAAACATTGGTTATACATTTGGAGGTGTATAGAAAAGAGGACAAAACAAAGTTTGCAGTAGGCTTAAACATGTGGCGCATATATTGTACACAATACTGTGGATGGTTATTCCAATCCAAATTGGGGCACTAATTGTCAAAATATATAAATATTTTCATATATATATATATATATATATATATATATATATATATATAAATCGTTCGAGTAACTCAATTAAAGAAATTATGTGAATTTGTAGACGTGAAATATAAAAAGCCGGTCCAACCTGAAAGTACCAGATTTCTTTCTCTATTCCCAGCTATTGAAAAACTTCTAAATATATTCGAAGAAACTAAAATCATACTTCCTTTTGCAAGAAAACTGTCTACGTGCTAGTGCGAGATTTATTTGAAGTGAGATGTGTGAAGTATATTTTTGGTTTATGCATAGAAAATTAAATAATTTTAACAATACTGTGCTACTCATGGAAAAGAGTGAAGCAAGCGCAACTGATATTATTTTGGAGTTAAGAAGATTAAAATCTATTCTTCAAGAAAATCTAGCAATTTTGTACAAGGAGCGAAAGAGTGATTACTGAGGAAACTTGGTAGTAGTCAGGATATTGATAAATTTATAACAGGTGTACTTAACTGATTTTTGCGACGATGCATTTCGTACATTTCATAGGGGAAAGACAGTTGAGGAGGGGCTGAGATTTTCGAATGGATGGGACTGAATCATGTATTGAAATGGGACGAGATCGAACGATCTGCTGAAACTCTAAACATAATATACGGTTCAGACGATCGAAAAAAGATTAATACTGATAACCTTTTTAACTAGTTGTTACTTGCTAAGCTTTGATAGCATCAAAGAATAAAGCATGGAATTAGACGACGAGGCAAATGGAGTATGCTGACAAATCGGTTCACCTATTTAAACATTTTCACAAACAACACATCGATGCACCCAACCTGGTAAAAATTGTGCAATACATTTTGTGTCTACGAAATCAGTCACGACGGCTTCTTTAGAGCGTGTTTTCTCGATGGTGAAACATATTTGTTCAGACGATAGAAACAGCATGTTGTAGTCTACCGTACGAGAATTATTCTACTGTAAATTAAACTTTAATGTGACATGCAGCTATTTTTGTTAAAAACAAGTACATAACAATGAGAAGTACGCATGGTACAAAAATAGATATTTAATTAATAAAAAGTTCTACTTTACAATATTCACCATTCACTGTCCCAGTTTTCATAATTAGAGTTTCATAATTATTATGGTAAGTATAATTATATATGGCTATGATTCAGCCGGTGCTGACGTATGGGTCAGAAGTGTGGGTCTTTAACAAGAATATGTCACAAAAACTCCTCTCAACGGAAATGATGTACTGGAGAAGATGTTCCGGGTTAACTTTGTTTGACCACATAAGAAATGAAAACATAAGAGAGAGAATGAAAGTAAAGAACACAATAATGGATACGATAGCCGAAAAACAATTAAAATGGTATGGACACCTGAGACGGATGAACGAAGAAAGGATACCACGAAAGGTTTGGAACTGGAGACCTACACAGAGAAATAAAAGGGGAAGGCCAAGAAAGAAATGGATATCCAATATTCATATAGAAATGGAAAATAGAGGTCTTCAAGAAGGAGACTGGGCCGATAAGAAATTATGGCGATTGGGATGCGAGAGTGCAAACACTCGCTATATATATATATATATATATATATATATATATATATATATATATATATATATATATATATATATATATATATATATATATATATATATGTAAATACTTTTTTCTTTTTGGATGTGGTAGTCAATAAAAAATAGAGCTTTGCTAAGGCGTACTATTTATTCTGAAATCCGAGCTTTCGGTGGTTGTTTGCCACCTTTATCAAGGTCTACAATGAAAATTACTGTATTATAAATTTAGGCTGATGTAATATAAATAACATAATGTGATCTGAATTACTGAAGGCATTAAAACTTAAAAATTTTAAAATAACTTAAAAATTAAAGAACACGTTACAAAGTTTAAAAAGTAAAAAATAAGACGACATGTTTGACAAAAAACAGTCGTCTTCGCAGTTTGAATTCAGTCACATCTCACGAACAGAAAGAGGTAGTAGGAGGAACTATTGTTGTTTAAATAGTTCGATGTAACTACAAAAAACAAACTTTCAAACTGATGTCTAACAAAATACCGTTTGTGATTTTAAGTACTACCAACCATGTTACCAACTTTAAATTGAGAGGGAAATTTAAAAAAAGTTCATTATGTCAAACAATAAAAAGAAAATAGTATTTAGTAAGTAGGTTTAGAAAAAACAAACAACCAAACACAAAATGAACATCTGAATAATAACTGTAGTTAATCATGATAATTATAGCAATTAATAATGGAATTTAAGAAACAAGACATGAAACACTCTGAGATGCAGAAGACCTTGTCAAAAGTCAAAATAAAATTGTAAATTTTGCTAAGATTCTGGATCTCAGATCTTTTATTCAGATTGTTGTTATCACTCCTGCTGATATGTACCATTTCTAAGAATGTTCTCTTAAATTTATTTTTCTCTCTGGCTAATATTTTTACATTGTTGAAATCTATCTTATGGTCTAGATCGATAGTGTGTTCTGCCAAAGCACAAGTGGGTTTAGTTAGTCTACAGTCACTCTTATGAGAAATGATACGACTAGACAGATTTCTTCCAGTTTCACCAATGTACGTGGATGGACATTCAGTACATTGAATGCAAAGCAATACATTGGTGAAACTGGAAGAAATCTGTCTAGTCGTATCATTTCTCATAAGAGTGACTGTAGACTAAATAAACCCACTTGTGCTTTGGCAGAACACACTATCGATCTAGACCATAAGATAGATTTCAACAATGTTAAAATATTAGCCAGAGAGAAAAATAAATTTAAGAGAACATTCTTAGAAATGGTACATATCAGCAGGAGTGATAACAACAATCTGAATAAAAGATCTGAGATCCAGAATCTTAGCAAAATTTACAATTTTATTTTGACTTTTGACTAGGGTTTTCTGTATCTCAGAGTGCTTCATGTTTCGTAAATTCCATTATTAATTGCTATAATTATCATGATTAACTTCAGTTATTATTCAGATGTTCATTTTGTTTTGGTTGTTTGTTTTTTCAAACCTACTTACTAAATACTATTTTCTTTTTATTTTTTGACATAATAAAACCTTTTTTTAAATTTCCCTCTCAATTCTAAGTTGGTAACATGGTTGGTAGTACTTAAAATCACAAACGGCATCTTGTTAGACATCAGTTTGAAAGTTTGTTTTTTGTAGTTACATCGAACTATTTAAACAACAATAGTTCCTCCTACTACCTCTTTCTGTTCGTGAGATGTGACTGAATTCAAACCTGCGAAGACGACTGTTTTTTGTCAAACATGTCGTCTTATTTTTTACTTTTTAAACTTTGTAACATGTTCTTTAATTTTTAAGTATTTTAAAGTTTTTAAAATTTTTAATGCCTTCAATAATTCAGATCACATTATGTTATTTAATGTTGTGTTTTATATGCTATGAATCTTACTTTCTGGTAAGTTTTTATAACTTTTATATTACATCAGCCTAATGTTATAACACAGTAATTTTCATTGTAGACCTTGATAAAGGTGGCAAATAACCACCGAATGCTCGGATTTCAGAATAAATAGTGCGCCTTAGCAAAGCTCTATTTTTTATTGACTACCACACCCAAAAAGAAAAAAGTATTTACATATATATATATATATATATATATATATATATATATATATATATATATATATATAAAATTTTATAAATCCTATTTACGCAAGAGAAAATATGCTTTTAAAAAACTCCACATATATTATTTAGTCCATTTAAAAATTTTTGAAAAGAAAAGAAATTTTTCAGTATACCATAATAAAAAAATATTAGATTACCCTTTTGGTTGTCCTTCAACGTCTACATTGTTGATGGCCGAGGAAGGATAAAGTGGAGGAAGTTGGTCTTCTTTTATTTCATCTTTTTCTACTTTCATAGTTTTAAATGGAGATGTTTGTTCTTCATTTACGGTGGTATTATCTAATACATGAGTTTCGATTGGTCGCTTTCTTTTGTGAAATACATTTCCGTTTGAGAGTTTTAATTCTGGTACATTTGATATCAAACTGTTTATAAGTGGATTTAAATGAGTCTGTTCCTTAAGTAATTGTCTTATCACAATTTCTTTTCTGTTATAAACATTACCTGGAAAAGAAATTTACTATTAAAACAGAAATTTACTCAAGCAATAAAAACAAGATGACAAGGCAATTTTAACTTTTATAAAAGTTTATAAGTGATTACTATTTTTATTGAGAATACGCCACAATTTATGTTTAAAATAAGTTTATTATTGATGTTTCCATTTCCACTTCCGAAATCGTTCTCAAAATACAAAACATTGTTTTGTATTTTGAGAACGATTTCCGACGTAGAAATGGAAAAATCAACAATAAACTTATTTTAAACATAAATTGTGGCGTATTCCCAATAAAAATAGTAATTTCATTAATATGCCTCAAGAAAATAGCTTCAGAACAATACAAAAGTTTATGGAACGAAATGTGTACCTTATTTTCTGTAAAAAATTTTACTGTAAAATTTTATAGTAAAATTTTTTACTGATGCCAAAAACGTTTGTAGTAAAGTATTGTTAGCAATACGACTCATTTTTAATACTAATTAAGCTGTCTTTTGATTTTGTTGCAATAACATCATTTTCTTATTACACATGCTAAATAATCTGAATTTGAATTAAATCGTTTTAATAGTTTTCAACACATGCCAAAAAATTAATTGAAAAAAATTAATAATATACATCACTCCTTAGATAATGTCCAAATAATGATGTAGGGCACCCTGTTAGTCAACGTTGACGGAAAGTCTATAGTTGAGTATCAGAATTATAGTCACTAAATTCCAGGAAATGGTGATGGCAATTTTTAATTATTCTTGATCTTCCAGTTGCGTACAATTTTTTTTGTAAGAGTTAGAGCTAGAGCCACTTGTATTACAAATTATATACACCACTATTCTCTCCCTAGCGCTAAGAAATTTCTAAACAAATATGTGGGATCGGCCATAATGCAATTGAATAATTTAGACATCGGATTATATAGACTAACAAAAAAGTCCACAAGATCTAATATTTTTCAGTTTTGTAATTAGCAATTCATATAATTCGCCTTATAATTAACAAGTACACATGTAGGACCTTATGAAGTACAATTTTAAAAAATATGATCGATACATGAAATTGAGGTATTTGTCACTTGATCAAAAGATATTATCAGTAAACTATACAGTAAAATATTGTATTCTATATTCTATATTCTCTATTGTATATCTTGTAGTTAGATTCGTTTTGTATGAATCGTTTTATAATATACAGTGAACGGCTAAATTATGGAATATTATCATTATTTCGAAAACCGTCGAGTTTTGAGAGAAATCCGAAACAGGTCGATTTTTGTTATAAAATATCCATCTTATAACGTACATGGAGTAGGGATGACGTCACTGGTGTGGGTGTAATAACATAACCGTTAATTTTTTTAAATAGAAATTGGTATAATGCGACACCTCATTTGAAGTTGAATTTAATTCTCTATTTAACGACATTACATTTTTAACTAAAATATTTTTTAATGGTACAAAAACAATTTTTTTAAATTTAATTCAACTAAATTACAACTAATGATTTAATTCATAATGTACTTTAAAGTAACCAAATTATGCATAACAATTATTTTAAATTAAATGTTCGAAATGCCATCCATCGGTTGCTGCCATGACTTTCTGAAGTAAATACTTAAAAAAGCAAAAATAAGTAAAAATAATAATGGGCATAAAAAGTTATCTCATAAACACTGAAACTTTTTGTCAAATGTTAATTCAAGCAAGTGATAGTGGCATAGTTGTAATATAACTGTAATATTTATTGACGTTAATGTTTCGATTTTGTGAATTGTCATCAGTTGTCAATTGTAATTTTTACTTTTGAATACTAAATTATGGTTCAAATAAATGAAACACAACGCATAGAAATATTAATTCTCAGCGGATGCGGAGATAAAAAAAAAGAACACAGAACGAGGTATGCAATTTATTCAACGTAAAATATCCAAACAGACCCATCAGAAAATCAACAGTATGTAAAATAGTCCGAAAATTTTGAGAAATTGGACACGTTAAACATATTCCAAACGCTGGGTGTCCTAAGACAATGTGAAACTTGATATTTTATTAAATGTACATGACAATACTCACATTAGTTCAACACAAATAGGTGAATACGCTGGAGTTTCCCAACGATCGGTATTACGTATTTAAAAAAAAAGAAAAATACCATCCCTACAAAATTCAACTAGATGATGACAACGATCCCGATCGTCGGCGTCAATTTTCTGAAATTATGCAGGATTTATGCATCTGAAATCCACATTTCATCAATCAAATTATTTTTTTCGATGAAGCCACATTTTTTATACATGGTACCGTGAATTGTCAAAATTACAGATATTGGAGTCAAGAAAACCCACATTGAATGACTGAGTCACATACGCAATAACCTCAGAAAGTAAATGTATGAGCAGGGATCATTAATGACAGAATCATTGGCCCTTTTTTCTTTGAAGAAAATCTAACAAGAGAACGTTATTTAACTTTTTTGAGAAATCAACTTATACCTGTCCTTGCTAACATGCATCCAAATGCCAATAATCCAAATGTACCTAGTGAAAATATCTTGTTTCAACAAGATGGAACTCCTTCGCATTACGCACGTGAAGTACGTCAATTTTTAAATCATTGCTTTCCCAGGAGATAGATCGGAAGACGAGGTTTTATAGAATGGCCAGCAAGGTCGCCAGATCTAACACCTCTAGACTTTTTCCTGTGGGGTTACATAAAATCAAAAGTGTATGTCAATATACCCCACAACTTACAGGACTTGAAAGATAGAATTAGGCATGAAATGAGTCTAATTACTCCAGAAGTCATCCGCAATGTACGTGATGAATGTGTCCGTAGATTTGCATATTGTCAAGAAACCGATGGATGGCATTTCGAACATTTAAATGGCAATTTAAAATAATTATTATGCATAATTTGGTTACTTTAAAGTACATTATTAATTAAATCATTAGTTTTAACAGACACTTTTATTACTTATGCGACATGCTAAAACGATCCTACTTTTTATTTTATAACAAAAATCGACCTGTTTCGGGATTTCCCTCAAAACTCGACGGTTCTTGAAATAAGGATAATATTTCATAATTTAGCCGTTTACTGTATATTAGGTATGTTAGATAATTAAATATATGTAAGTTTTGATTATCTTCTCCGAAATCGCCTATAAGAATTCAAAAAAACTTTTATCATTACGAGAAAGAGATCTATAGCAATTTAACAGTGCATACTGACTTTTTATTTTACCCTTAAGCTGCCGCTGTATCCCCTTATAGATAATTTTGAACGCAAATTCTGTGCAGCTGAGAGCGAGCCGAGCAATGTATACTGGAAGATACATTCATTATAAGTGAAAGCAACATGCGCTGGAGAAACAAGCTTGTATTCAAGTGTAGGTTCGAGTTAGTGTAGTTGCAACATGGCGGACAAGCAGTCTATTGATGAGGTAAGACAAATATTAATTATATTTCTTTGTTCTTTGTGAATTTGCTTTATTTTGGCTAAAAACATATTAGTAAATAATAATGGCAATATAATTGGTTTACTGCGAAATGAAAATGTTGTATTCTTCTTATAATATAACAATCGTCTTTTTTATCTAAATCCTATAGTTCACATTGTCCATTCAGGTATTTTTTTGCGTATTGTCAAAAATATATTGTTTCAATTTGTTGATGCAAATATTCATTCTAAAATTGTATGGTGGTATAAAAAAATTACAAAATTGTAGGAAAATCAAAAAAATATTTGAAAAATGTGAAAAATGTTTATCATTGGAACAAGAGACATTGTTTTCTATTGATAAAATGATGATAACATATAAAGGAACCAAGGCAGGTAACCTACTCAATATATGCCTAAAAAACCAAAAATTTGGGTCCAAAATGTTTGTTCGCGCTGGAGTGTCAGGTATTGTTTACGACTTTTTGGTTATACAGGTTTAAGCACATTTACAAATACACAATTTTCCAGTTATGAGGAATCGTTGGGACTGGGGGCCAAAATAGTTATACAGTTGTCTAGAACCATCTTAAATCCAAATGAATGTGTGGTTTATTTCGACAACTTTATCTGTTCTTTGGAACTAATAGAATACCTGAAGAAAGAGAAACGATTGGCAAGTCTTGGCACTATCCGCAGCAACATACTAAGAGGTTGTATACTAGATTCAGACAAAGCACTTCTCAAAAAAGACCGCGGAAGTTTTGACTACAAAGTTGACAATAAAAATATTATATCGGTAGGCAAGTGGGCCGATACTAAATGTGTCACTTTGGCTAGCTTATACATTTCCCCAGCCCAGTGCTTTGAGTAAAACGGTACAGTAATGGACATAAAAAAAGTTGACGTCGAGTGTCCTCAAATAGTGAGGCAATATAATACATGGACGGTATTAATCTGTCCTATGTGCTTATATCACTTATAAAACACCATTCAAATCGAGGAGGTATTATCTTTGCATTTTTATCCAGCTCATAGACATCGCGGTGAATAATGCTTGCTTGCTTTATCGAAGAGATATGGAAGCTTTGGGAAAAAGGCACGAAAAACTAAAAAAATTTTGCGGAAATATTGGAAGATCCCTATTCTTTCAAAAAACGTAAGAAAATCTCCATGCTGAAGTGCGGATCACCAACCACAAAAAAAAATCAAATTTCCTGTAGCTCCTCGTCCAACAGATGACGTTTGCTTTTACAACGTAGGTCACTTTCCAGGGTTTATTGACAAAGAAAGATGTAAATTGTATACTGACGGTCAAACTGCAGTTTTCTGTGAAAAGTGTAAAGCGCGTTTGTGCTTGGTGTCAGGAAAACAACCTAGAAACTGTTTTGCTCTTTATCATAAGAAGTGATTTATTGTGCAATGTGAGATACATGTCGTACCTTTTTTCAGTGTATATTTTAAGAAAAAAAAATGTTTTTATGTATTTTTAAATAAATGTATACCAAACATACATCAAAATCTATTTATTTTGTTTAATTTATTTCCATGCCCGTTTAAGGATTAAATAT